GGTCGTGATTTGGGCGGCTCACCTTGGCGCTGGGATAGCACGGCTCCCACTCCAACCTCCGAGGCGTCCACCTCCACGATGAACGGCAAGGTAAGATCCGGCTGACATAAAATGGGAGCGGTGGTAAATCATTGTTTCAATGTCTCAAAAGCCCGCACTGCCTCCTCCGTCCATTTCAGACCACGACCCTTGTGGCTGGTCATCGCCAACAGGGGAGCTGCGGTTGTGCTGAAATTACGCACAAACCGTCTATAGTAATTGGCAAACCCCAAGAATCTCTGAAGCTCTTTCACCGTCTGGGGTTGAGGCCAGTCTCGTACAGCTTGTACCTTGGATTCATCCAGTCTTACCCCGTCGGGAGTGAGTATGGCCCCAAGGAAGGAAATCGTTGTGACATGGAATTCACTCTTCTCGGCCTTCACGAACAGAGAGTGTTGGCGGAGTCGGTCCAGAACCTGTCGTACATGGGACACATGTTCTCTCAGAGAGTTAGAGTAGATTAGGATGTCATCAATGTACACTATGACGAAGCGATCAATCAAGTCCCTAAAAATGTCATTCATGAACGCCTGGAACACAGAGGGCGCGTTAGTAAGTCCATAGGGCATGACACAATATTCATAATGTCCTCGATGGGTGATGAAGGCGGTCTTCCATTCATCCCCCTCTCTAATGCGCACCAGATTGTACGCACTCCTGAGGTCCAGTTTACTGTAGATGGAGGCCTGCCCCACCTGCTCGAGGGCTGCTGGAATCAAAGGAAGGGGGGTAACGATTTTTAATGGTGATATCGTTCAAACCTCGATAGTCTATACAAGGACGCAGTCCGCCATCCTTTTTCTTAACAAAGAAAAAACTGGATGCCGCGGGAGACGTAGATGGGCGAATGGCCCCTTGCTGAAGTGCCTCATCAATATACTTGCTCATTGATTCCCGTTCCGGCTGTGACAAAGGGTAGATTCGTCCACGAGGAGGTGTAGCCCCGGATAGCAGATCAATTGCACAATCCCAGGCCCGATGCGGTGGTAACACGGTAGCCCTCTACTTGGAGAACACCTGCGCGTAATCCTGGTACTCTGTAGGAACAACAGTAGACACCGCACCCTTCGCATCCTCCACAGTAGAGGTTTTGCAAGGTAAAATGAGGCACTCAGCCCTACATACCTCACTCCAAGCCGTGATATCGCCAGACTTCCAGGAGATGACCGGATCATGGGTAACGAGCCAGGGGTGGCCGAGGACTAGCGGCTCCCGTGGAGCGGAGATGACGAACAGAATGATGTTCTCATGGTGCAGGGAGCCCACTTGTAACTTGATTTCCCCGGTACGGTGCGTAATGAACCCAGTGCCCATGGGCTCACCGTCTAGCGCGTTGACTCGCAGGGGAGGTTGAATTGGGATAAGTTGAACTCCCAACTCCTCAGCAAGACCCATATCCAGAAAGCTGGCCGCCGCTCCGGAATCAATAAGTCCTTCCAACCTGCGCACTTTCTCTCCGACAGATAAGGTAACAGGTACATACATTTGTTTAGATGTAATGTTCAGAACGGGAGTCTCACTCACCGGTTTGGCAGTTCCGAGGCGATACCCTGGGATACGGTTAGGTCGTACCGGACATTGACGAACGAAATGACCCGACTGACCACAATACAGGCATAGTCCGTCTTGCCGACGTTGTTGTCTCACCGACCCTTGTAGAGGTGACCGTCCCAGTTGCATAGGTTCCTCCTCAGATTCTCTCCTCCGCTCTGTCGATTGCATAGGACCAGTGATCGAGAGCTCCCGAACAGTGGATGCCTTGTGTTGCACTATAAGATTATCAATAGAGATGGCTATTTTGATAAACTCATGTAGCGCAGTGATATCTCCTCGACAAGCCAACTCAGTCTGTACGTCTTTGCGCAGCCCTCTTCGGAAAACTGTGAGCAAAGCAGTCTCGCTCCATCCGCTACCGGCTGCTATAGTACGGAACTCTAAAGCGTAGTCGGCTACTGTGCGACGGCCCTGCTGAAGTTCGCACAGTTGGTCTCCCACACTACGCCCAGATACTGGGTGGTCGAACACCTCTTGAAACAGTCTCTTGAACTGAACTTCCGCATTCAGCTCGGGAACCTCAGCTGCCCAAAGCGCAGTAGCCCAATCCAGTGCTCTTCCCGTTAGCAGAGAAATCATGAAATCCACCCTGCTACGGTCATCGGAAAACATAGTACGATTATATGACAGATACAGGGACATCTGGAGTAGAAACCCCTGACATTTGCCAGGTTCCCCGTCGTACCTTGTAGGTAGAGAAATCGGAGGTGCATGACGAGGACTGACCGTGCTCGGTGTGGTGCCTTCAGCCGCACCAGCGTGGAGTAGCTGTAGGAGTTCATCCATCCGTTTCTCCTGTATCTCCCATCGCCTCTGTAATTCCGCTGGATCCATGGTAATGGCGAGGTATTCTGTAATGAATACTCGGACAGAGTGGTAAGATCCAATCGCAGAATAGCGATGCTTTATTAGAGTACAGACAAGGGTATAGCTTAATCGTGGTCGGGCGGGCTGTGGTCAAAACCGGGCAAGGCATAGACAGGCAGAGGTACCAAAGGAGCGGGCTAGTCGTAGTCGAGGGCACAGGCACAGGATCAGAGGACGGTAATCACTGGGGTAGACAAGCAGAGGATTAAGCAATTCGGGAAGTCAAACAACAAGGCACAGGTCGGATACACGGGTAATCAAAACAACAAACTCTCTCTCTCTCTCTCTCGGAACAAAACGCTTAGCAAGTCACAAAGGAACAATACCTCGCGCCGACTGAGCTTCTGAGCACACCTTATATCCTACACTAATTACTGACAGGTGTGCTCAGAACTCAGGTGAACCAGATCGAGTCTGATGACTCCCCCTCTCTGTAGATCGGGGAAGTGTCAGACTCTGTCTAGAACCAGCCAACCCCCGATCCCTTACACAAATAGCCAGATTGCATGACTAAGAACTCAATAAAGTAGGGTTGACAATAGCAAATAGCCAGATTGCATGACTAAGAACTCAATAAAGTAGGGTTGACAATAGCAAATAGCCAGATTGCATGACTAAGAACTCAATAAAGTAGGGTTGACAATAGCAAATAGCCAGATTGCATGACTAAGAACTCAATAAAGTAGGGTTGACAATAGCAAATAGCCGGATTGCATGACTAAGAACCCAATAAAGTAGAGTTGACAATAGCAAATAGCCAGATTGCATGACTAAGAACTCAATAAAGTAGGGTTGACAATAGCAAATAGCCAGATTGCATGACTAAGAACTCAATAAAGTAGGGTTGACAATAGCAAATAGCCAGATTGCATGACTAAGAACTCAATAAAGTAGGGTTGACAATAGCAAATAGCCGGATTGCATGACTAAGAACCCAATAAAGTAGAGTTGACAATAGCAAATAGCCAGATTGCATGACTAAGAACTCAATAAAGTAGGGTTGACAATAGCAAATAGCCAGATTGCATGACTAAGAACTCAATAAAGTAGGGTTGACAATAGCAAATAGCCAGATTGCATGACTAAGAACTCAATAAAGTAGGGTTGACTCAATTTTACAACCTTTGTAAGTAATGTTCCCTCTAAACTGCGCTCTTGCCCGGCGGTGCACCTCTTCCAGGATGCGCAGAACAAATGCCAGGCCGCACAGAGACGCAAGAGACTGAACTTCACAGAGTTCGCCCCATTAGTTTCCACTATATAGATCAACGTTTTTTTTCTTTGATTGAATCAACATTATATCAAACCCCTTTTCAATGCAACAAACCAAATCTAACTTTGTTAGATTGAGTCTGTGATTTTATTGTAGGCGGAGTCTGTCCTACAAAGGAGTATAATTCTACTGGCGGGGGACGGCCCACAATCGGTCTTTCAATCACCGGCGAGTGAAGACGTGTTTCGGATCAGTTCTGATCAGAGCGCAGAGCTGCGCGTGTGGTCATTTGTTGATATTCTTCGCTAGTTACCGAGTTATTAGCCCAGTTATAGATAAGTATAGGTCAGCAATGGGGAGTTACTGCTTCCTAAAAGAGCCCAAAACGTTTAGGCTACATTTCAAGCAGTCTTTTAAAAGCCAGTCATGGTAAATAGCTTATATCTTAATTAAAGGGGGCAGTGTTGTATTTTGAGACAGGCTTGAATCTGCAAATAAGCCAATAGGCAGAGGGGTAGCCTACATTATCTAATTCTCTGTATGGTAATAATAATTACTTTTGTTTTGTAAAGTGGTTTCGTCCATCATACAACACAATTCAATGCAATTTACAGTCACCTATTTGGTCCATTGTGTTACAGACCAAGTAAACAATCATTAATTAATGTCAAGCCCTTCATAATGTAAAAATGGTATTAAAAGTCACATGCAATGTAGGCCCGCATTGAACACCACATAGAGGCTACTGTAGGCTATATCATAGAAATCAAAAGCTATTTCCATGTGTAAATGTTGTGGAATTTGCTATATTGGTTTTGTTTGTAGGCCTACATTATGCTCAGATAGCCACAACAGCCATATGGGCTACTGTCTAAAACTGTCAGGGTACAGCCTCAGTGTTCACTGTAAACGTGCGCCGGAAGTTGCACAAAATTCTCACAACGTTCAAGTTTCCACTCACAAGCCCCAAAATTTGCTCAGTGCCCCCCAAAGAATTAGAGGGAACGAACATTGGTTGTAAGTGATAGTTTACTTAGGTAAAGTAATCTGGCATTTAGGATTAGTACAAGGGGGCTTGGACGGGTGCTTGAAAGGGGGCTTGGAAGGGTGCTTGGAAGGGTGCTTGAAAGGGTGCTTGGAAGGGTGCTTGAAAGGGTGTTTGGAGTAACGTCTGAGCTTAGAGACGTATAATTAATAACTTAGGGATTCATTATCCAAAGCCTATACGTGACAGTTAAATCTGTGGTCATTTGCAATTATCTGCCGATGAGAGATGTGAAGAGATAGGATTAATTGCGGTACTAGGAATGTTGATAAATGTCCCACCGTCAAATATCTCCAGGATGTCAAACTCCTTCTCTGTCTGGAAGAGTTGGAAGTGGAGGGTGATGTTGTAGCCCTTCTCTACGTTGATGAGCCAGGAACACGTCTGGAGGTTGGGGTAGCTGTCTGGGTAGCCTGGACTCAGGATCACCCCCGTCGAGTCGAAACGGACCTCGTTGGCAGGACATTGTACTGTGGAGTGGAGGGTGGAAAGAGATGGAAAAAAGGAGCGGAAAGAAAGGAGAAAGAGAGGAAAGAGAGGAAAGAGAGGATGAAGAGGATGAAGAGGATGAAGAGGATGAAGAGGGAATTTTGAGGAGAAAGGACAGAGAGGACAGAGGTAAAACAGGAAGTGGAGGGAAGAAAGCGGAAAGAGTTAAAGAAAGGAGTCGTTCCACTGACTGTGACTGTGAATGTGGCTGTGGCCGTGACTGTGGCTGTGACCGTGGCTGTGACTGTGACTGACTCTGGCTGTGACTGTGGTTGTGGCTGTGACTGTGACTGTGACTGTGGCTGTGACTGTGGCTGTGACCGTGGCTGTGACTGACTCTGGCTGTGACTGTGACTGTGGCTGTGACTGTGATTGTGGCCGTGCCATGGCTGTAGCTGAGACTGTGACTGTGGCTGTGGCTGTGACTGTGGCTGTGACTGTGGCTGTGACCGTGGCTGTGACTGACTGTGGCTGTGACTATGGCTGTGACTGTGTCTGTGACTGTGGTTGTGGCTGTGACTGTGGCTGTGGCTGTGACTGGCTGTGGCTGTGACTGTGACTTTGACCGTGGCTGTGACTGTGGCTGTGGCTGTAACTGTGGCTGTGACCGACTGTGGCTGTGACTGAGGCTGTGGCTTTGACTGTGGCTGTGACTGACTGTGGCTGTGGCTGTGACTGTGGCTGTGACTGTGGCTGTGACTGTGGCTGTGACTGTGGTTTGGCTGTGACATACTGTGGCTGTGGCTGTGACTAACTGTGACTGTGGCTCTGACTGTGACTGTGGCTGTGACTGTGGCTGTGGCTGTGACCGTGGCTGTGACTGAATTTGGCTGTGACTGTGACTGTGACTGTGGCTGTGATTGTGGCCGTGCCATGGCTGTGGCTGAGACTGTGGCTGTGACTGTGGCTGTGACCGTGGCTGTGACTGACTGTGACTGTGACTGTGACTGTGGCTGTGGCTGTGGCTGTGACTGTGGCTATGACTGGCTGTGGCTGTGACTGTGACTTTGACCGTGGCTTTGACTGTGACTGACTGTGGCTGTGGCTGTGGCTGTGGCTGTGGCTGTGACCGTGGCTGTGACTGGCTGTGACTGTGGCTGTGACTGTGGCTGTTACTGTGACTGTGGCTGTGACTGTGGCTGTAACTGACTGTGGCTGTGGCTGTGACTGTGACTGTGGAAATTACAGTGAAATAATAATGTGCAATGAAACAATTCCATTTAGTCTGAGACAGGTACAGGGCCTCAGGGTACAGAGTACTGGTTCACTGTGTTAGCTTTGTCCCTTGGTAGCATAATAATAATCCCCAATGGAAGAGAGATGCTTATATATCAGCACATTTCTCTGCACTGGAGGGTGGCATGTCTGAGATAATTACTAAACTTTCTAACATATTGTTATTCTGACAGCAGCTAACTTTCTTCAGGCCTTTTTAGAGAGAAGGTACTACGACACAATAAAAAGGTTAACGTTGCCAACAAATGTGAAATATTCAGGCAAAAAAGGACAGCAGAACATTTGAAGAACAGAAAGTGGAAATACGACACGTTAAAACAGCTTGAACAGAGATAGATTGTGTCAGCAGAGAGCTCAACATTTCCAACTGTATATAGAAATGTGTCCAGCAGATATCAACAAACAGAAGAATGAGGTGAAGTAAGAGGCAAAGCAACGCTACAGCCGTGGCAGCTGACTCTATGTTTCCCATTATGTCAACTCTCTGTGCTACAGCCCAGGAGATGGACGGAATCACAATGGCACCCTGTTCACTATATAGTGCACTACTCTTCAGCAGAGCCAAACGGTTATAAGAGGAATGTTTGAATTCTGGGTGATGCCTTCGGTTTAGAAGTCATCTAGATCTGCCAACACTAAATTACCTGGTCCATCTATGACCCCTGGTCTAAAGTAGTGCACTACATAGGGAATAGGGTGCCATTCTCTGGTCTAAAGCAGTGCACTACATAGGGAATAGGGTGCCATTGCAGATGCAGCCGATACTAACCTTGGCAAAGAGGCGGAGGGCCGTCCATCTGGAGCCTGTCCCCCAGCCTGCACGTCAGGATCTCCGAGCCCACCAGGGTGAACCCTGGCAGGCACTGGTACCTGATGATGTCCCCTGGAGAAACCACACACACACACACACACACACACACACACACACCCACGCACACACACACCCACACACACACGCACTCACACCAACACACACACACACCCATGCACACACACACCCACGCACCCACGCACACACACACACACACACACACACGCACGCACGCACACACACACACACCCACGCACACACACGCACACACACACACACCCACGCACACACACGCACACACACACACACCCACCCACCCACGCACACACACACGCACACACACGCACGCACACACACACACCAACACACACACACACACCAACACACACACACACACCCACACACACACGCACACACACACACACACCAACACACACACACCCATGCACACACACACACCCACGCACACACACACACACACACACACCCACGCACACACACACCCACGCACACACACACCCACGCACACACACACACACGCACACACACCAACACACGCCAACACACACACACACACACACACACACACACACACACACACACACACACACACACACACACACACACACAGCCTTTCAGATAGGAGGCATAGACGTCACTGAACACTATCAGACCTGGCTTGATATAATCAGGTGCCAGGCCAGCTCAACCCAAGCACAGCTAAATTATTGGAAAAAAATCAAATACTATGTGAACCCAAATCTGAAGAGAGTACCGTAATTGTCAAGGTATTAGCAAGATGGACACTCTGATGAAGAGATGGATTACCTTTGAAACAACCATGTGATCTTATCTCGGTGTAAGTTAATCACTTGGAAGATACAGTGCCTTGCAAAAGGTATTCAGAGCCCTTGGACACCTTCACATATTATTGTGTTACAAAGTGGGATTAACATTGATTTAATTGTCTTTTTTTTTGTCAACAATCTACACAAAATACTATTGTCATTTCAAAGCGGAAGAACAATTCAAAAAAAATGTTTTAAGATTAATACAAATAAAATAAATAAAATATAGTCGTTGCATAAATATTAAGCTCCCTGTGTCAATACATGTTAGAAACACCTTTGGCATGGATTACAGCTGTGAGTCTTCCTGGGTAAGTCTATAAGAGCTTTTCCCACCCGGACTGTACAACATTTGACCATTATTGTTTTCAAAATTCTTCAAGCTCTGTCAAGATGTAGGGGATCATGGCTATAGAGCAATTGTCAAGTCTTGCCATAGATTTACAAACAGATTAAAAAAACTGTAACTTGGCCACTCAGAAACATTCACTGTCTTAATGAACTCCAGTGTAGCTTTGACCTTGTGTTGCAGGTTATTGTCCTGCTGAAAGAAAGCTGAATTCCTCTCCCAGTCTGTGGTGTAAAGCAGACTGAAGCAGGGGTTTCCTCTAGGATCTTTCCCGTGATTAGCTCCATCCATTTTTATTTTTATCCTGAAAAACTCCCCAGTATTTGCCGATGACAAGCATACCCATAACATGATGCAGCCACCACCATTCTTGAAAATAAGGAGGGAGTTACTCAGTGATGTGTTGTGTCGGATTTGCATTTACGCCCCAAAAAATATATTCCTTTGCTGTGTTTTTTTTGTTTGTTGCAGTATTACTTAATTAAGTTTTTTTTGTTTTGGAATATATGTTATTGTTACCCATCTACCAATCACTGCCCTTCTTTATGAGGCTTTTGAAAAGTTCCCTGGTCTTTGTAGTTGAATCTGTGCTTGAAATTCAATACTTGATTGAAGGACCTTACAGATGTTGTATGGGGGACAGAGGAAGGGGTAGTCATTCAAAAATCCTGTCAACCTCTATTATTTCACAAAGAGTGAGTCCATGTAACTTATTACGTGATTTGTTAAGTCACATTTTGCTCCTGAACTAATTTAGGCTTGTCTAAACAAATGGGGCTGAATACCTATACAACGACTATATTTAAGTTAGGGATTTTTCATTTACCTTAAAAAAAAATTTGAACAGAGTATTTTGTGTAGATTGATGACAAAAAAATGACAATCCATTTTAATGCCACTTTGTAACACAATCAAATGTGAACAAATCCAAACGGGTCTGAATATTTTTTGCAAGGCACTGTAATCGTACACGTGTATTTAATTAAATGAAAACAGAAGCAACGTATGATATAAATAAATGAATGAATATAGAAATAACCAGCCAACCCACCAACCAAACAACCAAATGAATATGTGTATAAATGTGACAGACCTATTTCAAACTCGTCATGGTCTGTGAGGATCTCCGCGTTGGCAACAGCTGGAGGAGACTGACACACTCTCAGTTGGTATGCTGTGAAGGGAGATAAACAACAACAACAACAACAACAACAACAGAAGGTAAACGGTAAACATTAACTTACATATCAACACAAGTGTTTGGCTGTTCTCTGTAATCACACCCCTGTCGTGACTGTCCACGAGAATCCAAATACGTCAGATCAGGTTTGGAAGTGAATAATTTCAAAATCAGACCCCCTTTCACCCGTAGAGTGAGGGTTAACAGCTCACACCCTGTTGTAAATCAACAAAGAAGGCCAGGATCTCCCTCTCAAGATCCACCCAAGGAATGTCTTTGTTTCAACAGACTTTTTCCCTTCTGAAACTCTAACACGTTCAAAAGCGAATACTGGAACAATATTATATTTCTAAAGTAGAACGTGGGGAACGGTCGGAGGCGATCTATAGAACACTAATGTCATTTGGTTTGTTATTTTGTGATGTCATAAATTTTTTTATAAAGGAAATACTGTAACTTGGAAAGTATACCCACTACATGTAGGAAGTGTCCATCCTATGCGTTGTGCATATAACATGAAAAATGATGAATGTGGTTTTTGTTAAGAGAGGGATGTGATTTGAGAAGTTGTATGAGATAATTGTTTTTCATAACTTGGCACAGTTAGTAGTCACCGCCCAAAGTGAGGTCAGAAAGCGTGTCAGCCTGACGGAACCGCCCCCTTTCGAGCAAAGTGTATAAAAGATGGGTAAAGAAATGAACATATCAGACCAGAAAGACGTAAAGCTGCAGCTGCACGTGTTAAAGTGGTTTGAACATGGAGAAGAAACACTCACCTCCCGGACAATCACTGGTACGGCTGATTAGCTGTCCTAAGTAAGGTATCTTCTAAAGCAAATTTAAGTAGGACCAACCTCTGTTACTCTGCTCAAACCACCGTATTACGCTACCCTCAACACCCCACTGGGGAACCATCGATACGGCCTATCTTCAAAGAAGCATCTTCAAGAGCGAATGGAAGCAAAATCAACTCTGTAGTTCGGTTCAGGACTACACGACAAGTCATCGGAAACCGGACAACTACGAAGAAGTAAACCACAGTAGAAGACTTGTTGGAACCTTCCTTGGACAATCAGAGCCTTACGAGCGCGCTGCGAGAAGGCCCAACTCCCTTTCCAGGGCGAATGCCCAACTCCCTTTCCAGGGCGAAGGCCCAACTCCCTTTCCAGGGCGAAGGCCCAACTCCCTTTCCAGGGCGAAGGCCCAACTCCCTTTCCAGGGCGAAGGCCCAACTCCCTTTCCAGGGCGAAGGCCCAACTCCCTTTCTGTCACGGTTTCGGCCGAGGCTGCTCCTCCTCCTTGTTCGGGCAGGCTTCGGCGGTCGTCGTCTCCGGAGTACTAGCTGCCACCGTTCTTTGTTTTCGATGTTTGTTTGGTTTGGTCTGTTTGGTACACCTGTTCGTGTTTAGTGTTGATTATGTACCCTATAAGTGTTCCATTTGTTAGTCATGTGTTGTGTGTAATTGGTTTCACCTGTCTGTTGGTGCTGTTCACTTTTTGCCAGTCGCTAGTGTTTACCGTCGCACTGTTGTTTTCGTGCGCAGTCGGTTTTGTGTTTTACGCACTGTTGCGTATTGTTCGCCTCCGGGTTGGTTAGACCCGTTTGGTATTTTGTCTTTTCAAGTAAAGACTGGTTTGACTTAGCTCCTGTGTCCTGCACTTGATTTCGCACCACATCGGCATCAGATACCCTGACACTTTCCAGGGCGGTCCTGTCCACCGAGAGAGATACACGGCGAACCAGGCATTTCACGTAAATACATTCATGATTTCTTACTCAAAGCGGGCGGCGGTTCGTGTGCCAAGTATGTAATTACTGTAGGTGAGAGTAGTTTCTGAATGTATCAAGGTTAAGTGTCTCTGTCCCTCTCTTTCTTCCTCTCCATCTCTTCTGTTTAACAAGCAGCCATGTTGTTGTCATAGGGACCTGTTTTCTCCAGTCAATAACCGGTGCGGAGTGTGTATGTTTATCCTGTGTTCCCATTTAATTAGCTAGTAAATAAATCCTTAAACCAATTTGTGTAGTACTGAATCATAAGTAAGGCTCAGGTTTTTGCAGATGAAGGAGGTTACGACTGTTCAGTATGATGATCTGATGCGAGGTTATGATTAATACGTTGACTGTTTATAGATGTGATCGGTAAAGACCTTTTAGAGTTTAATTCAGAAGATGGTGACTCTTTAAAGAACCACTCTTGTTGTGTCCCAGATCCAAATGAGTTAGTTGTTACATGATTAATATAATCGGGTAACAATTAAACATAGTTAGTTGGTTAGATAATAACAGCCTTCAGATTAATGTTAAAGTCACTTCACGACACCCCCTTCATCCTGTCAGCTCATCAAACTGTAATCACACCCCCTTCATCCTGTCAGCTCATCAAACTTATAAGGCTGAAAAGCTATAAATAGTCAGCTATCAAGATTATGAACCTCCACCACGATCATCAAAAAGTAATGATAATACAAACTGTGGTAAGAATGAACAAATGAAAGTTTTGAATGAAAATGTTAGTAGATGAGTGTTGATATTCTGGTTTATATCATTAGAAATCATGTTATTAAGAACAACAAGATGTTAGAAAGCAGCTTGGAGGTTGACTAATACAACAAGCTGATAAAGGTGCTGATAACAGCAATAGAAAACAAAACATTAGACTCATCTGGACCCATGTATTCCTACAGCATGTAATTCGTCTTTCTTCTAGTCCTTGCAACCGCTCTCCTCCTTACCGCCTTCTCAAAACGCAGAGAAGAAGGTCTGAGGGGAGGGACCTTGGACCTTCCATTATGGTTGAGAAGGAGGCGAGGAGAGGAATCAAGGAAAGACTAATTGAGATAGAGCCTTAGATCCCTCTGGGTTGTTCATAAAGGCCGTACATTCATAAAGGCTGTAAGATACTAAACGCTATAAGTTCATAAAATGTGTAAATTCATTATATTACCAATGTCCAGTCTAGGGTTCTGTTTAATCTATGGGTCCATTTTAATCAGAGTCATTACAGCTGAAGCACTCTCTTTAACAGGGAACACCATGGCAACTAAGTAGAAACTTTAAAAGGGCACTACTCCCCATGGCAACTAAGTAGAAACTTTAAAAAGGGCACTACTGACCATGGTAACTAAGTAGAAACTTTAAAAAGGGCACTACTCCCCATGGTAACTAAGTAGAAACTTTAAAAGGGCACTACTGACCATGGTAACTAAGTAGACACTTTAAAAAGGGCACTACTCACCATAGTAACTAAGTTGAAACTTTAAAAAGGGCACTACTCACCATGGTAACTAAGTAGAAACTTTAAAAAGGGCACTACTCACCATGGTAGGTAAGTACAAAGAACCCGCTGGTGCTGAAATCACTGTGGAACTTGATGAGGACATGATTGGCTGTGGTATAGACTGCTTTCTGGGGCGTGTTCCCACTGAACTGACCAATCTGAGGAGAGCCTTGGTCAGGGCCGTCCCTGTAGGGAGAGACGACAACCAATCAGGGGTGAGTTAGTTTCCCCAAAGCTTTGCAGTTAATTAGTCTGGACAGCCTGGTCACACAGCAGAGAGAGAGTAATTAGTCTGGACAGCCTGGTCCCACAGCAGAGAGAGAGTAATTAGTCTGTACAGCCTGGTCCCACAGCAGAGAGAGAGTAATTAATCTGGACAGCCTGGTCACACAGCAGAGAGAGAGTAATTAGTCTGGACAGCCTGGTCCCACAGCAGAGAGAGAGTAATTAGTCTGTACAGCCTGGTCCCACAGCAGAGAGAGAGTAATTAGTCTGGACAGCCTGGTCCCACAGCAGAGAGAGAGTAATTAATCTGTACAGCCTGGTCCCACAGCAGAGAGAGAGTAATTAGTCTGGACAGCCTGGTCCCACAGCAGAGAGAGAGTAATTAGTCTGTACAGCCTGGTCCCACAGCAGAGAGATAGTAATTAGTCTGGACAGCCTGGTCCCACAGCAGAGAGAGAGTAATTAGTCTGGACAGCCTGGTCACACCGCAGAGAGAGAGTAATTAGTCTGTACAGCCTGGTCCCACAGCAGAGAGAGAGTAATTAGTCTGTACAGCCTGGTCCCACAGCAGAGAGAGAGTAATTAGTCTGTAAAGCCTGGTCCCACAGCAGAGAGAGAGTAATTAATCTGGACAGCCTGGTCCCACAGCAGAGAGAGAGTAATTAGTCTGTACAGCCTGGTCCCACAGCAGAGAGAGAGTAATTAGTCTGTACAGCCTGGTCCCACAGCAGAGAGAGAGTAATTAGTCTGGACAGCCTGGTCCCACAGCAGAGAGAGAGTAATTAGTCTGTACAGCCTGGTCCCACAGCAGAGAGATAGTAATTAGTCTGTACAGCCTGGTCCCACAGCAGAGAGATAGTAATTAATCTGGACAGCCTGGTCCCACAGCAGAGAGAGAGTAATTAATCTGGACAGCCTGGTCCCACAGCAGAGAGAGAGTAATTAGTCTGGACAGCCTGGTCCCACAGCAGAGAGAGAGTAATTAGTCTGGACAGCCTGGTCCCACAGCAGAGAGAGAGTAATTAGTCTGTACAGCCTGGTCCCACAGCAGAGAGAGAGTAATTAGTCTGTACAGCCTGGTCCCACAGCAGAGAGAGAGTAATTAGTCTGTACAGCCTGGTCCCACAGCAGAGAGATAGTAATTAATCTAGACAGCCTGGTCCCACAGCAGAGAGAGAGTAATTAATCTGGACAGCCTGGTCCCACAGCAGAGAGAGAGTAATTAGTCTGTACAGCCTGGTCCCACAGCAGAGAGAGAGTAATTAGTCTGGACAGCCTGGTCCCACAGCAGAGAGAGAGTAATTAGTCTGGACAGCCTGGTCCCACAGCAGAGAGAGAGTAATTAATCTGGACAGCCTGGTCCCACAGCAGAGAGAGAGTAATTAGTCTGTACAGCCTGGTCCCACAGCAGAGAGAGAGTAATTAGTCTGTACAGCCTGGTCCCACAGCAGAGAGAGAGTAATGAATCTGTACATTCTGGTCCCACAGCAGAGAGAAAGTAATTAATATGTACAGCCTGGTCCCACAGCAGAGAGAGAGAGTAATTAGTCTGGACAAAGTAAATCTTCTGAGCGAGAAGTGGACAAAATTTGCCAAATGAAGAACTTTCTTGTTCTGAGAGTGGTCCTAGTTCTGTGGCCCTCTAGCGATGAGCAACAACCAGGGGTGAGTGTGAGTTAGGTAGCATCCCAAATGGCACCCTATATTCATATTGCACTATTTTGGATGCAGCCTTAGTTTTCCTTTTAGCCTGGTAGCTAACGTAGCACTCTATTTCTCTGGATAATGACCATCCAGCCAATCAGCAAGGTGAGAATAACAACTGTTCAATCTTTGACCGTTTGACCATCAATCTGAACAAAAAATCCACCCAAAAATAAGCACTTCACTGTTGTGACCCAGAGTGGTCTGGGTTTGGGGTCATCGAGGGTCGTGGCTAGTTAAGTGCACACGAAAGCTACAAAGCTTTCTGCTGTTCTATGAGTGACCTGGGTCTTCCAGGGTCCTAGCTAGCTAGGTGATGCACTAGCTACAGATATTTGGGGAGCTCAACTCAGCCAGCATATCCAGAGAACCTGAGGAGAAGTTTGTGTTTACGAAAAGCGCAGCTAAATAAAGGTCAACAACAGCCACAGCCAGTACTAATGATTTTCAATGATAAGCAATTTCCCTCCGGACCGCTCCTTAATAGGTCTATCATTACGTGTGAACCGATCGCTGAAGACTTCAGCCGCTGTAGTCTGCTCTGCTATACAGAGAAAACACATTTCCACTAATGCCAGCATCATGAGTGCAGAGATACAGTGGGGAGAACAAGTATTTGATACACTGCCAATTTTGCAGGTTTTCCTACTTACAAAGCATGTAGAGGTCTGTAATTTTTGTCATAGGTACACTTCAACTGTGAGAGACGGAATCTAAAACAAAAATCCAGAAAATCACTTTGTATGATTTTTAAGTAATTAATTTGCATTTTATTTGACATAAGTATTTGATCACCTACCAACCAGTAAGAATTCTGGCTCTCACAGACCTGTTAGTTTTTCTTTAAGAAGCCCTCCTGTTCTCCACTCATTACCTGTATTAACTGCACCTGTTTGAACTCGTTACCTGTATAAAAGACACCTGTCCACACACTCAATCAAACAGACTCCAACCGCTCCACAATGGCCAAGACCAGAGAGCTGTGTAAGGACATCAGGGATAAAATTGTAGACCTGCACAAGGCTGGGATGGGCTACAGGACAATAGGCAAGCAGCTTGGTGAGAAGGCAACAACTGTTGGCGCAATTATTAGAAAATGGAAGAAGTTCAAGATGACGGTCAATCACTCTCGGTCTGGGGCTCCATGCAAGATCTCACCTCGTGGGGCATCAATGATCATGAGGAAGGTGAGGGATCAGCCCAGAACTACACGGCAGGACCTGGTCAATGACCTGAAGAGAGCTGGGACCACAGTCTCAAAGAAAACCATTAGTAACACACTACGCCGTCATGGATTAAAATCCTGCAGCGCACGCAAGGTCCCCCTGCTCAAGCCAGCGCATGTCCAGGCCCGTCTGAAGTTTGTCAATGACCATCTGGATGATCCAGAGGAGGAATGGGAGAAGGTCATGTGGTCTGATGAGACAAAAATAGAGCTTTTTGGTCTAGACTCCACTCGCCTTGTTTGGAGGAAGAAGAAGGATGAGTACAACCCCAAGAACACCATCCCAACCGTGAAGCATGGAGGTGGAAACATCATTCTTTGGGGATGCTTTTCTGCAAAGGGGACAGGACGACTGCACCGTATTGAGGGGAGGATGGATGGGGCCATGTATCGCGAGATCTTGGCCAACAACCTCTTTCCCTCAGTAAGAGCATTGAAGATGGGTTGTGGCTGGGTCTTCCAGCATGACAACGACCCAAAACACACAGCCAGGGCAACTAAGGAGTGGCTCCGTAAGAAGCATCTCAAGGTCCTGGAGTGGCGTAGCCAGTCTCCAGACCTGAACCCAATAGAAAATCTTTGGAGGGAGCTGAAAGTCCATATTGCCCAGCGACAGCCACGAAACTTGAAGGATCTGGAGAAGGTCTGTATGGAGGAGTGGGCCAAAATCCCTGCTGCAGTGTGTGCAAACCTGGTCAAGACCTACAGGAAACGTATGATCTCTGTAATTGCAAACAAAGGTTTCTGTACCAAATATTAAGTTCTGCTTTTCTGATGTATCAAATACTTATGTCATGCAATAAAATGCAAATTAATTACTTAAAAAATCATACAATGTGATTTTCTGGATTTTTGTTTTAGATTCCGTCTCTCACAGTTGAAGTGTACCTATGATAAAAATTACAGACCTCTACATGCTTTGTAAGTAGGAAAACCTGCAAAATCGGCAGTGTATCAAATACTTGTTCTCCCCACTGTACATCTGTTTTCCTGACTGAGGCTGCATCCCAAATGGAACCCTATTCATGTCTATTGAGCCTAACAGAAATGTTTTTGGCATGTCTACTGAGTCCAACAGAAGTGTTTTTCTAAAGTGGACGCCTCTTGCAGATGCCTTGTTCTGACTATAAGCCCGAGGCAGAGCTCAAAGTGTTCCCCGTGGGAGTGTAGAGAGAGAGAAAGTCCTGGGGTTGGTTCCCCCCGGCTGTCATGTGGTGGCGGTGCTACTGCCTTATGGTGCTGCTGAGCTGTTCTCCTGTTCTACTGTTCTACTGTTCTGTTCCGGAATCAAACGGAGCATAAACAACACATCCCTTGATACATTCCACATTCTACATTCCATTCCCCTTCCATTTTGCTGATGATTCTAAAAATGATATGGTAATGCTTTGCTTTTTTAAAAACACGTACAAATGCAGTTAGCGCTAGCAAGTGTAGCCCTACAATATCTCTGGAAAACTGATGTAATTGATGGATAACTGCTTGGTCAAATGTTGTTAGAGTAGCTATATCTGTTTTTTTCCCCAGCTGGAAATACTGCCTTTACCGCCATATAGTACTTGTTACTTGGCCCCAGTGTCCTTTACACAGAAATACATTGTGTGTTCAGCGCGTGGGAGTAGGGAGAGGAGAGCAGAGAACACATTAAGGTCTGTTTCCTTCTGTCTCTGTATCAAATGTTTTTAAGGTCTGTTTCCTTCTGTCTCTGTATCAAATGTTTTAAGGTCTGTTTCCTTCTGTCTCTGTATCAAATGTTTTAAGGTCTGTTTCCTTCTGTCTCTGTATCAAATGTTTTACGGTCTGTTTCCTTCTGTCTCTGTATCAAATGTTTTAAGGTCTGTTTCCTTCTGTCTCTGTATCAAATGTTTTACGGTCTGTTTCCTTCTGTCTCTGTATCAAATGTTTTAAGGTCTGTTTCCTTCTGTCTCTGTATCAAATGTTTTTAAGGTCTGTTTCCTTCTGTCTCTGTATCAAATGTTTTTAAGGTCTGTTTCCTTCTGTCTCTGTATCAAATGTTTTAAGGTCTGTTTCCTTCTGTCTCTGTATTAAATGTTTTAAGATCTGTTTCCTTCTGTCTCTGTATCAAATGTTTTACGGTCTGTTTCCTTACCGCTGCTGACAAATATTTTTTCCCAGCATACCCTGAGGATTAGTGTTTGTTCACCCGCCCCCGTCCGCAATTGCTAATAACTAATCCTCAACCGGCTGACTATATATCTGATAAAGTGAAACTCTGAGGCCCGCTCCCGACCATAGCCCGCTAATATAGAAGATACACCATAGGCTACAGTCAGAGACAGGAAGGATGTTTTGACAGGATGACTGATTATATATGTTTCTGCTTATCGTTTCTTATCAAGTCTATTTGTTAGTCAACTTGTCTATAGTTAGATACAATCAGCTCCTCTTCTGTCATTATATGTTGCCCTTTAGGAGACTAAATAAACCCTTGATCACCGGAACCTAACATGTTTCTGATAAGGTTTCAGTTCGGCTTTTATGTGGTTGAAATACTATCAGCTTTTATGATGCTGATAAAGACAGCACCTCCACAGACGGTATCTGACTGTGAATTCGCATTCTGTCAAGATGCTGAAAGAAATCATATTTCTCCACTCCTGTTCTCGAGTCAAAACTATAACCTCATTTTACTTCCAAGAAATGCTTCATTCTGCAGCAATTAATATTAAGGCTATGTGAGAGGTTATCGACCTACAGTCAGTCTCCAGATTTCAGTTTCCATTTAACCCATCTGAACAGTAGGCTACGGTTCCCTTGACGTGCCATAGGCCTATTTGAAGTTCCCTTGTCTTGTGACTGTCGAATTTGTACAGAGCCTCACAATCATCACACATCACACAGCTGGCACTGCTATCATCCTGTTTTACCACTTCACCAAATCTTTCCCCAAACACCACTGTTCTGTCCTCCCTACGCTTTATCTTCAACTCTCCACCTCACAGCTTTTCTCTTATTCAATTAAACTCCCACATTGTCCTTTTTGCCTCCGTGGATCCGCCGTAAATGTTTTCCGCCCCGTTCCCAAAAGCATTTGGTGCGCGTTCAGTTAGGTCTTAAAGCTCAGGCTAATGCACTAATTAAATGCCAGATATCCTCAAATAATGAAAGAAAAACCTCAATGTAGCCTACAGATAGAAATTGCACATGAATGATACATTTATGGATTTTTTTTAAGGTATTGTTTTCTCTTCATTCAACCCGCCACCCACCCACCATTCATCCACCCAATAATGAATGACCCTAAACCCACCCGCCCTTAACCGTGGGGACTGTGGGTTATGAGTCAACCCGCGCATCACTACTGAGGATATTAAGGGGGGGAATTATATATTCAGCAACACATACGCTGTTCGGCAACACGTCCCAAATTACACCCTATTGACACCCTATACCCATAGGGCATTGGTCAAAAGTAGTGCACTATATAGGGAATAGGGTGCCATTTTGGGACGCAGACAATACTACTGTTATGAAGTCCACTACTTACCAGACAGTGATGTAATCGTAGATGGGTTCAGTGTTGAGAACGGTGAAGTTGATGTAGATACCGTTCCCTGGGGGGACCCGTACACTCCACAGGCAGTCCTGGAAGTTTGGGTACTCTGCTGGGTGGCTGGGAGAATAGATGGTCCCATTCAGAGATGTGATATTACCACCACACTGGGCTGGAGGGAGGGGAGGGACGGTGGGAGTTGAGGGGGGGGGGGGGGGAGGGGGGAGGGAGGGAGGAATTGAAAGATAGAAGTAGAGAAACAGAATGAAAGATAGGGAGGGTGAACAGAATGAACGATTAGAAGGAGAGGAACAGAATGAAAGATAGAAGGAACGAGAACAGAAGAAAGACCGAAGGAGGAGAAAAAAGAATGAAGATAGGAGAGAACAGAATGAGAAACAGAATGAAGAAAGAAGAAAGATAGAAGGAAAGAACAGAATGAAAGATAGGAGAGAACAGAATGAAAGATAGAAGGAGAGAACAGAATGAAAGATAGGAGAGAACAGAATGAAAGATAGAAGGAGAGAACAGAATGAAAGACAGAAGGAGAGAACAGAATGAAAGATAGGAGGAGAACAGAATGAAAGATAGAAGGAGAGAACAGAATGAAAGATAGGAGAGAACAGAATGAAAGATAGAAGGAGAGAACAGAATGAAAGACAGAAGGAGAGAACAGAATGAAAGATAGGAGAGAACAGAATGAAAGATAGAAGGAGAGAACAGAATGAAACCGTCAGCCGGTCCCCTGATATACACTAGGTGATAAAACTTACTCTAGTGGCTAACTGTAAGTAAACCAACTATAACCAAACATGATTTTGTTATTGTTCATAGATGTGTGTATTCTGTAGGGGTAAACCCCAGGAGATGTGATTCACTATCCTTGTTACTGACGTCAGTTACCTTGGCTGCATCTGAAATGGCACCCTATTCCCTATATAGTCCACTACTTTCGACCAGAGCCCCATGCTATGATTCAGGCACTAAAACTCCCCGTCATAACCACTCAATGAGCCTATAAAATCTGTCTTTGAACTTAGAGGAGTCAAACCAAGCGTTCAAGTTTAAACTGAATAAAGTCTGGATATCCATTACAGACACTACACCCTCTAAAGGTTGAGGCTGGATCAGTTACATGATAAACACCAGCCAGTGTGGTACATGATAAACACCAGCCAGTGTGGTACATGATAAACAACAGCCAGTGTGGTACATGATAAACAACAGCCAGTGTGGTACATGATAAACAACAGCCAGTGTGGTACATGATAAACAACAGCCAGTGTGGTACATGATAAACAACAGCCAGTGTGGTACATGAGAAACAACAGCCAGTGTGGTACATGAGAAACAACAGCCAGTGTGGTACATGAGAAACAACAGCCAGGGTGTAATGATAAACAACAGCCAGTGTATGGTACATGATAGGACACAGCCAGTGTGGGACATGAGACAGAAACAACAAAGGCCAGTGTGGTAAATGTAAACAACAGCCAGTGTGAGTACATGATAAAACAACAGCCAGTGTGGTACATGATAACAACAGGCCAGTGTGGTACAGAGAAAAGCAAAAACAGCAGTGTGGTACATGAGAAGAAAGAACAGCCAGTGTGGTACATGAGAAACAAAAGCCCGTGGGGTAAATGCGAAAGAACAGCCAGTGTGGTACATGATAAAACAACAGCCAGTGTGTACATGATAAACAACAGGCAGTTGTGGTACATGATAAACAAAAGCCAGTGTGGTACATGCTAAAACAAAAGCCAGTGTGCGGTAGGTACATGATAAACAACAGCCATGGTGGTACATGATAAACAACAGCAGGTGTGCAGTACATGAGTAAACAAAAGACAAGTGTGGTACATTAATGAACAACAGGCCAGTGTGGTGCAGAGACAACAACAGCCAGTAGTGTGTTACATGATAAACAAACAGCCAGTGTGGTGGTACATGATAAAACAACAGCCAGTGTGGGACATGATAGACCACAGAGTTGTGGTACATGAGAAAAACAACAGCCAGTGTGGTAAATGATAAACAACAGCAGGTGTGGTACATGATAAACAACAGGACAGTTTGGACATGAGAAACAACAGCCAGTGAGGTACATGATAAAACACAGCAGTGTGGTACATGAGAAACAAGGCAGTGTGGTACATGGAAAAACCAGCCAGTGTGGGTAGTATGGTACATGATAGACCACAGACGTGTGGTCCTGAGACACAACAGCGTGTGGTACTGATAAACAACAAGCCAGTGTGGTACATGAAAAAAACAGCCCGTGTGGTACATGAGAAAACAACAGCCATGGGTACATGAGCAAAACAGCCAGTGTGGGAACCATGATCAACCCCAGCCAGTGTGGTACATGAACACAACAGCCAGTGTGGTCCCTGCGAAACAACAGCCAGTGTGGTACATGAGAAACAACAGCCAGTGTGGTACCATGAGAAACAACAAGCAGTGGGTACATGATAAACAACAGCCAGTGTGGTACATGATAAACACAGCCAGTGGCGTACAGGAAGACCAACCAGTGGGGTTTTAACATGAGACACAACAGCCAGTGGGGTTTTACAGATAAAAAAAAGCCGTGTGGTAAATACATGATAAAACAACAGCCAGCGTGGGTAGGTAACATGAGAAAACAACAGGCAAGTGTGGTACTGAGAAAAACAGCCAGGTGTGGTACATGATAAAACACCAGCCAGTGTGGTGGGTACATGATAAAAAACAGCCAGGGGGTACATGATATAACAACAGCCAGTGTGGTACATGAGAAAACAACAGCCAGTGTGGACAGAGAAAACAACAGCCAGAGCTGTGGTACATGATAAAACACAGCCAGTGTGGTACATGATAGACCAACAGCAGTGTGGTCATGAGACACAACAGCCAGTGGTGGTACATGATAAAACAACAGCCAGTGTGGTACATGATAAACAATAAGACAGTGTGGTACATGATAAACAAAAGACAGTGTGGTTACTGATAAACAACAGCCAGTGTGGTACATGAGAAACAAACAAGCCAGTGTGGTACATGAGAAACAACAGCCAGTGTGGTAAATGAATAAACAACAGCCAGTGTGGTACATGATAGGACCACAGCCGTTTGTGAGTACATGAGACACAACACCAGTGTGGTACATGATAAAAAACAGACAGTGTGTACGAGAAAAACAACAGCCAGTGTGTAATGATAAACAAAACAGCAGTGTGGTACATGAGAAACAACAGCCAGTGTGCGTCATGAGAAAGAACAGCAGTGTGGTACATGAGAAACAACCGCCAGTGTGGTACATGAGAAAGAACACCAGTGTGGTACATGATAAACAAAACAGCCAGTTGTGGTACATGATAAACAACAGGCAGCTGTGGTACATGATAAACAACAGCCAGTGTGGTACGATTAAACAACAGGCCGTGTTGTGGTGGTAATGATAAACAAAAGCCAGTTGTGGTACATGATAAACCAACAGCCAGTGTTGGTAACATTAAAACAACAGCCAGTTGGTACATGAGAAACAACAGCCAGTGTGGTACATGATAAACAACCAGCCAGTGTAGGGACTTATAAACCAACGCCAGTGGGGTAAATGAAGAACAAAGCCAGGTCCGGGACATGAGAAACAACAGCCAGTGTGGTAAATGATAAACAAAACAGCCAGGGGTACCATGATAAAAAACAGGCAGTGTGGTACATGAGGAAACAACAGCCAGTGGGGGACATGATAAAACCAAAAGCCCGGTTGTGGGTAATGAGAAACAAAACGCCAGTGTGGTACATGAGAAACAACAGACAGTGTCTGGTACTGATAGGACACAGCAGTGTGGGACATGAGACACAACAGCCAGTGTGGTAACTGATAAACCAACAGCCAGTGTGGTACATGATAAACAACCAGCCAGTGTGGTACATGAGAAAAAAAACAACAGCCAGTGTGGTACATGAGAAAACAACAGCCAGTGTGGGTCATGATAAAGCAGACCGCCAGTGTGGTTACATGATAAACAAACAGCAGTGTGGTACATGATAAACAACAGCCAGTGTGGGTACATTGAGAAACAACCAGCCAGGGTGGTAAATGAGAAAACAAACAGCCAGTGTGGTACATGATAAACAAAAGCCAGTGTGGTACATGGATAAACAACAGCCAGGTGGTACTGATAGTCACAGCCCAGTGTGGTACATGAGACACAACAGCCAGTTAGTGGTTACATGATAAACAAACAGCGAGTGTGGTACAGATAAACACAGCCCGTGTGGTACATGAGATGAGAAAAAACAGCCAGTGTGGTACATGGAGAAAAAACAGCCAGTGAGTAAATGATAAACCCAGCCAGCTGTGGGTAAGATAAACAAACGCCAGTGTTGGTTACATGATAAAAAACAAGCCGTTGTGGTACATGAGAAAGAAACAACAGCCAGTTGGTACATGAGAAGAACACAGCCAGTGTGGTACATGATAAACAACAGCCAGGGTGGTACATGATAGACCACAGCCAGTGTGCGTACATGAGAGCCACAACAGCCAGTGTGGGGTACCATGATAAACAACAGCAGTGCGCGATGCTAATAAACAATAGCCAGTGTGGTACATGATAAACAACAGCCAGGTGTGGTACATGTAAACAACAGCCAGTGTGGTACCTGAGAAACAACAGCCAGTGTGGGTAAATGAGAACAAACAGCCAGTGGGTTACTGATAAACAACAGCAGATGGGTACATGATTAGACACAGCCAGTGTGGTACATGAGACACAAAGCCAGTGTCGGTACATGTAAACAACAGCCAGTGTGGTACATGATAAACAACAGCCAGTGTGGTACATGATAAACAATAGCCAGTGTGTAACATGATAAACAAAAAGACCAGTGTGGACCTGTAAACAAACAGCCAGTGTGGTACAGATAGACCACAGCCGTGTGGAGTACATGATAAACAACAGCCGTGTGGACATGATAGACCAACAGACCAGTGGGTACATGAAAACAACAGCCAGTGTGGACATGAAAACAACAGCCAGTGTGGTAAAATGATACAACAACACAGTGTGGTCCATTGATAACACCAGCCAGTGTGGTCATGATAAACAATAGCAAGTGTGTACCATGGAAACACCAGCCAGTGTTGGGTACCATGATTAAACAATAGCAGTTGGTACATGAGAAACACCAGCCAGTGTGGTACATGCGAAAACAACAGCCAGGGTGGTACATGATAAACAAACAGCAACACTATTATAATACCATATAGTGTAAGAGTTCTAAAATGGTAATACATCCATCTAATGATAATGCCAGTACCAGAGAGTTGAAACAGGAAACTAAGACAGACACCTTCTCAGCGTTCAAATTGAATAAAGGCCCATTGAGTGACAACACCACACCACACTACACCTTCACATTCAAAGATACTCTAACATCTGACCGTGACCCCACGGCTGTGACCCCAGTCTCCGAGGGGACAGTTGGGATATGCAAAAAACACATGTCCCATTCACACATGACCCATTAATGCACACTTGTACATGTGTGAACCAAATTATTATTATATACATTTCAAAGATGATAAAATGTAAAGTGGTAAAATGTTTAAATGGAACATTAAATGACAGCATGGTGAACCTATATTTACACTACTACATCACATTTTAATGTTACTCTAAAAAGATCCTTCCAGAAGATATTAAAGACGTGATGCATTTAAATGAATCCGGTCACCTTCACACGATGGTACAGGGTAGTTCCAGTTTCTGCTGACCCCGTGCAGGCAGGTGAGTGAGACCTCTCCTATCAGAGTATAACCTGGCAGGCACTCAAACGAGATGGTCAGGCCCACCCCGAAGTCTCTGCCAATCACCACGCCGTTACGGAACGGCCTCGGGTCAGGGCAGCGCTGGAGCTCATAGGCTATTGGTCAACAGGAAAACACAAAGGGTTTGTTAACGGTGTTTTATTTGAACGGTTAGAGGGCAAAACAAAACTGCAGATGAACCATTCGTCTGTGTGATTAATGGGGGGCTGAGGTAGAGCGGTGTTTGTGAGACAAGGGCAGATCCCGGATCTGGTTCTTCTCACAAGAACGTCTGTAGAGTCCCAACTGTTTGAGCTACAAACTATTATGACCCATCTATGAAAAGCTGAGACTCTCAGGAACAAGCGCATGTTTTGCTCACAAGCCACACAAGATTTGTTAGAAGGTAAGGAGTTCTTGGTAGCTACTTGGTACCAAACTCCAACTGGGGTTCAGCTCCTAAAAGCTACTTGGTACCAAATTCCAACTGGGGTTCAGCTCCTAAAAGCTACTTGGTACCAAACTCCAAATGGGGTTCAGCTCCTAAAAGCTACTTGCTACCAAACTCCAACTGGGGTTCAGCTCCTAAAAGCTACTTGGTACCAAACTCCAACTGGGCTTCAGCTCCTGCAGGTTAGTGTTTTTTTGTCATGAATCTTGTTCTGGAGGCAGCTCTGCAGAGTGGTAACTAGCTGGCACAGCCACAAAGTCATACAATCTGATTTTAAACCTAACCTTAACCCTAATTTTAACAACAGTGCTAACCCTAATTTTAACACTAATGCCTAAAGCCTAACTTTACACTTTTCATAAATTTTTCACAATATAACCCATTTTGACTTTGCTCCCCTCCGGCGCTCTGATTCGCCGGTCTACTGAGCCACCGGTCTGAGCGCACCACCTCGGCAAACACAGGAATGGAAACCCAACGCAGCCTAATCACCTCCAGCGCACCTGCACCTCATCACCACCCCTATTTAGCCCTGGACTATTCTGGATGATGTTGCGTGTGATTGTTTAGCTTCCTGTCATTTACTCCATCTTTGTTATTTATCTTTCTCATTGTTTCAGTAAACCTTGACCTTGTTAATTCCTGCGTCTGCGTCCTGCCTCTTCGTATACTCAGCACGCGTCACACTTAAGAGCTTAAGTGGGTCCAAAAGTCCAATACTTTAAACTTTCCTTTCCAATGTTCTCACCCTCATAGATGATGTGGAAGCCAGGTTTGTTCTGAGAGTAGTCACTGTGGAACAAGAAGCTGGTCTCATGTGTGGTGCTGAACAGAGAGTCAGGCACAACGGACCCACTGAACCTATCGATCACCGAACCCGTCTCCAAACTCCCGCTGCGCACCTCTAGATAGTCATGCACCGCTTCAGTAGAGAGGTTTAGAAACTGCAAGTGAATGCCTAAAATAAAGAGGGAAGAGAGGGACGGAGAGGAGGGGGCGGACGGAGAGAGAGAGGGAAGAACGAGAAGGAGGACGAAAGCTGAGAGGATGAGAGGGTGGGAAAAGAGGGGGCCAGCAGAGATTGTGCCGACATCGAGGTGGGATTCCCACGGCGGAGAGAGGGAGAGGAGAGGGAAAGAGAGAGGGAGAGAGGAGAGAGGAGAAAGAGCGAAAGAGGGAGGGAAGGAAGAGATAGAGAGAGAGAGAGGAGAGAGAGGGAAGAGACAAGAGACCCCAGAGAGAGAGAGGGGGGGAGAGAGAGGGAAAGAGAGAGAGAGGAAAGGAGATGAAGAGGATGGGTGGAGAAAGAAGGGGGATGCTGAGGAGAGAGAGGGAAATGATCCAGAGGAGGAGAGAAAGAGGGAAAGAGGGGGGAGATGAGAGGGGGGCGAGAAGGGACGAGAGGATGAGAGAGAGAGAGAAGCGCAGAGAGGGAAAGAGAGAAAGAGAAGGGATAAGAGACGAGAGAACAGAGACGGGGAGGAGAGACTAGGGAGTCAGGGGAGAGAGATCTGAGGTGGGCGAAATCGGGACAACGTACGGGGAAAGAGAAGAGGGGTTGCGAACGGCGGGGAAGACGAATTTCCGACGGGGGAGAGAGAGAGCGAGATGAAGAGGAGTGATGAGATGACGAGAAAGAGAGGCTGACTGGGGAGAAGAGAGAGAGAGGGCGCGAGAGAGATGAGGGATACGGGGTGAGAGACGAGATGAGGGACGCCGCACGCAGAATTGACGTGAGAGGAGAGGGAGGGAGGGAGAGTGACGCAGGGGGGCACGACGTGAGAGGGTGAAGAGTGAGAGAGAGTGGGGAGAGAGGGGGGAGAGAGAGAGGGGGGAAGGAAGGGGGCAGAGAGAGATGGGGGGAGATGAGGGGGAGAGAGAGGGGAGCGGAGCGGAGCGGAGGGGGAGAGAGAGAGGAGAGGGGGCCGAGAGGGGGCGGTTAGGCTGAGGAGAGAGAGGCCTGAGAGGAGAGACGGGAGGGAGGGACGAGGAGAGAGGGGGGTGGTTGATGAGCAGAGAGGCGAGGGAGGGCAGGGAAGGGGGTCGAGAGGGAGTGCGAGAGGGTGGGGAGAGAGGGGGAGACGAGAGAGGGGGGGAACTGAGGGTAACGTAAGAGCAGAGCGGAAAGAGAGGAGCCAAGAAGGAGAGAGTAAAACAAGATCACCATCCCAAGGTATTCTTACTCTACGGTATTTTGTAAGACGAGATGAGGAGGGGGGAGAACACGAGGGGGGGAGAGAGAGAGGGAACAGAGGAGGAGAGAGAAAGCAGGGAAAGAGGGGGGAGAGAGAGGGGGGGAGAGAGGCGGTGAGATGGTGAGAGATAGGAGAGAAGAGAGGGAAAAAGAGAGAAAGAGCGGAGGGAAACTCAAGATGGAGAGAGAAAGAGAGCGGAGCAGAGAAGGGAGGGGCCGATGAGATGAGGGGGGACAGGAGTGGAAAAAGAAGACGAGGGGGGGAGAGAGAGAGAGAGAAGAGAGGGAACGGGAGAGAGAGCAGAGAGGGGGAGAGAGAGGAGAGAGGGAGGGGGGGAGAGAGAAGGGAGAGAGTAGAGAGGCGAAGAGAGGCGAGGGAGGGCAGCGAGAGTGAGAGGGGGGGAGAGAGGGGGAGAGAGAGGAGAGAGGGGAGAGAGGGAGGGAGAGGGAGAGAGAGTGACGGAGAGGAGGGGCGAGGGGGAGAGAGAGAGGGGGGGGATGAGAGGGGAGAGAGAGAGGGAGGAGGGAGGGGAGGAGAGAGAGGGGGAGAGAGGAGGGTAGAGAGAGAGGGAGGGAGGGAGAGAGGGGAAGAGAGAGATGGGGGGGAGGGAGAGAGGGAGGGAGCGGTGTATGGGAGAGTGAGAGAGGGGGAGAGAGGGGGAAGAGAAGAGGGGGGAGAGAGGGGGAGAAGCAGAGAGGGAGCGGGGAGAGAGAGGAGAGGGGGGAGAGGGGGAGAGATGAGAGAGAGAGGGGGGGAGAGACAGAGAGAGAGAGAGAGGGGAGGGAAGGGAGAGAGAGAGAGGGATAGAGAGATACTACTTGAGTGTAAATTTGCTGTAATTTTAGTGTTTATTTCACTTTTACAATCTACTTCACTTGCTTTGGCCATGTTAACACAAGTTCCCATGCCAATAAAGCCTTAAAAATTGAACTGAATTGAAAAATTGAGAGACTGGTGTAATAACAAAACACAGTTGGGGTGATTCTTAAAACGCTTACTATTACCAAAGAAAACGTTGTTATCTCTAACTGGAAAACGTAAAGTTCATTTATGTGACCAGTGAAGGACAAAGAAAAGAACAGCAGCAACAGTAGGAAAAGACGACCGAAGCCTATGGGGGAGCTGGCACGCTCAGGTACAGGCCAAATGCTGGTGGTAATTCCCTGGGAAAGCCTGGACCAGGATCACTCACTGAATTCGTAATAGAGACTCCACACTGAGCTGTAACACAAGGAGAAGAAATGTGGAGGAAGATGAGAGAGAGAGAGAGAAGGAGAGAGAGGGAGAGAGGAGGGAAGACCTTCCTCCTGAGAGAGGACAGGTGCAGCAGTCCGACAAGAGTAGCGACCCTTATTCGAAAAGTGCCTCCGAAGAGACCAGAACCGCAGAGGACCCCCGATTGAGTGAGAGAGGGAAAGACCCGCCCGACACCTGAGTGTCGGGAGAGAGAGGAGAATGCGTTCCCTTGGACGAGATGCAGCCGATCGGACATCAGGAGTGAATGCACCTCCGTGCATTGATGTGATTGTGCCCTGGAGTTGTTCGACTTTTGAGAGAGACGAAGCAGGACATGAATGCAACGGATTTGACGGGCTTCCCACGAGAGTTTCCTACCCCTACCGTACGTGGTGAGCAAGAGGCCAAGGGACCTGACAATCTCTGCCCACTTTTCGAGAGGCGAGATTCCTTCCCCGTTAAGGACGTTTATAGAGGAGAGGAGAGGAGAGAGAGAGAGAGGGAGAGAGAAGAGAGAGAGAGGGAGAGAGAGGGACCGAGAGGGGAGAGGATGAGAGGGGAGAGAGCAGAGAGGAGAGAGAGAGAGAGAGAGAGGAGAGAGAGAGAAAGAGAGAGAGAGAGAGAGAGGGTGTGTATATCTGTATGTATGTATGTATGTGTGTGTGTGTGTGTGTGTGTGTGTGTGTGTGTGTGTGTGTGTGTGTGTGTGTGTGTGTGTGTGTGTGTGTGTGTGTGTGTGTGTGTGTGTGTGTGTGTGTGTGTGTGTGTTTTATAAACAGTTTATCAATAACAAGAACTCATAGTTTCCCTGTAAATTGTACATATTATTGATGACCGTCTATTTTTCGACGTATTCACTGCGCGTGCTTACAGGGTTAAAACAGAAACAACTCAAAGGGTTACGTTTAGGTACTAATTCAGAGTGGTTAAGGTCAGGGCGATGGTTTGGTTGGGGAAGTCATTACAAACAACGTGCTGTTTCCATCAACTATCATTAAGTATTCTGGCGGTTTACTGGAACATTGTGAACTGTGGTGATCTAAGCAGTGGTCAGGGTATGTACAGTGCATACTGGGACCGAGAGACTGAAAAGCAGCATCTATCTCAAGGCCATCAGACTGTTAAATAGCCATCACTAGCCGGCTACCCACCTGTTACTCAACCCTGCACCTTAGAGGCTGCTGCCCTATATACATAGACATGGAATCACTGGCCACTTTAATAATGTTTACATACTGTTTTACTCATTTCATATGTATATACTGTTCTATCCACATACTGTCCATAATGTCTATACATCCAATCACATATATATATACAGTGGGGAAAAAAAGTATTTAGTCAGCCACCAATTGTGCAAGTTCTCCCACTTAAAAAGATGAGAGAGGCCTGTAATTTTCATCATAGGTACACGTCAACTATGACAGACAAAATGAGAAAAAGAAATCCAGGAAATCACATTGTAGGATTTTTAATGAATTTATTTGCAAATTATGGTGGAAAATAAGTATTTGGTCAATAACAAAAGTTTCTCAATACTTTGTTATATACCCTTTGTTGGCAATGACACAGGTCAAACGTTTTCTGTAAGTCTTCACAAGGTTTTCACACACTGTTGCTGGTATTTTGGCCCATTCCTCCATGCAGATCTCCTCTAGAGCAGTGATGTTTTGGGGCTGTCGCTGGGCAACACGGACTTTCAACTCCCTCCAAAGATTTTCTATGGGGGTTGAGATCTGGAGACTGGCTAGGCCACTCCAGGACCTTGAAATGCTTCTTACGAAGCCACTCCTTCGTTGCCCGGGCGGTGTGTTTGGGATCATTGTCATGCTGAAAGACCCAGACACGTTCCATCTTCAATGCCCTTGCTGATGGAAGGGGGTTTTCACTCAAAATCTCATGATACATGGCCCCATTCATTCTTTCCTTTACACGGATCAGTCGTCCTGGTCCCTTTGCAGAAAAACAGCCCCAAAGCATGATGTTTCCACCCCCATGCTTCACAGTAGGTATGGTGTTCTTTGGATGCAACTCAGCATTTTTTGTCCTCCAAACACGACGAGTTGAGTTTTTTACCAAAAAGTTCTATTTGGTTTCATCTGACCATATGACATTCTCCCAATCCTCTTCTGGATCATCCAAATGCACTCTAGCAAACTTCAGATGGGCCTGGACATGTACTGGCTTAAGCAGGGGGACACGTCTGGCACTGCAGGATTTGAGGCCCTGGCGGCGTAGTGTGTTACTGATGGTAGGCTTTGATACTTTGGTCCCAGCTCTCTGCAGGTCATTCACTAGGTCCCCCCGTGTGGTTCTGGGATTTTTGCTCACCGTTCTGATGATCATTTTGACCCCTCGGGGTGAGATCTTGCGTGGAGCCCCAGATCGAGGGAGATTATCAGTGGTCTTGTATGTCTTCCATTTCCTAATAATTGCTCCCACAGTTGATTTCTTCAAACCAAGCTGCTTACCTATTGCAGATTCAGTCTTCCCAGCCTGGTGCAGGTCTACAATTTTGTTTCTGG